TATACTTTGTAAACTGTATTATTCAATATGTCTGTACGAAGATACAGAGGTAAAGTACAGAGGTAAGGTGACGTCCCCATATTGCAGAAATGGACTGTGTAATAAAACTTAAAACCAAATAATTTTCCTTTCTACCTACGAACTCATTATTTTTACTCGTCAATGAAAGGAAATAAGTCAAAACTGTTTCACTATAAATTTCATACTATTACGCTCTCATGTTCTGATTTTTCTGTAGGGACTACTACTTCCCGCAGGAAGTAAGGACCGAAAGGTAATTATCATTTTACTTGGGTTATTTGGCCCTAACTGCACAACTTTGAAGCACAGGTCAATGAGTACTACGTTTGAACTGTCTCATAAAAGCACAAGTCGCATGAATCGAATTCCTAGCACCAGGCTTGATCAACGGAAATTTACCAGGCTTTGATCAGTTTTCTTGCTAATCAGCACTTTTGTTTAACCAAACAAATGCCATCCGTTTCTTGTTCCGATAATCTGTTCCTTGAAAAATTATAAATATACAATAAAGAACGATGAATTAACAATTGCATGAATTAACAACTCTTCATAAAATGGCTCTAAGAACTTGATAAAATATTTCGCCAATACTAACATGTATAATAATGATTTTGTAATTTTAACTAACTGTAAATTAACTACACAATGTAATCCTACATTATTTCTTAAGCATTCTAATATAAATTATAAATCTAACCCTAAATGGTGATGGTCAGAAAACCTCATCTGGTTCAGGATAACATTATAAAAAATTAAGTGTGGGCTTTAAATTTCATTCATTAAAAATTAAATGTGTAATTAAAATATGTTTTCACAAAACATTTACCAACCAGAAAGTTAAAATTCTCAACCTTCGATCAAATACACTTCATTAAATGATTGAGTCTAGCAGAAAGAGGAAAATAAATCAAACGACTGCAAGATAGACCTGTGTAGTGTATATTTTATTCGCAAGGTAGTGAACTCTCAACATATAGCACAATAAAACGTTCTGCAGAATTATAATAAGGAGAAAAATTCAAATAATCCAATGTAATTTAGTTTCTAAAACTTGTAAATCACATAGAATTTTTAGCTTAGTTAGATAAATGAAGTCTTATATTTTCTGCCCTTATTTTAATAAAGCAATGATAACCGCTGCAAGTCACACTGGCGAAATGTTTGCAGCGAATAGCAACGTCTCTTGATTGATATACGACTCTGATAATGTAGGTCTTTTTGTCCTAGTAAAATGTTCATATGTGATCAAAATCATTATATCCTTCGGTGAATTAGTCGACATTAAATTTTATTACTTCCCATCGGACCTTTTCACCTGCTCTTAAGAGCTCACAGCATTCAGGACAACTTCACATGTTCGCGAAGTTGCAATGGTATCCTTATACACATTAACAGAATACATTAATTATATCCGAATGTCTCTATGTTTCGAAATCCCAAACAACGATCCTTTAACCCTTTTTGATGACTTGAGTAATTTGCTGATGAAATGGACATATAATTCAAATTCACGTGGCTTTTATTTAATTTGATGGATTAAATAGTATCACCAGATACACACCTTGCACGTCATAAACATAATTACTCGTCTAGTAAAATTCTTCAATTCCACCAGGCAGATGTGATGATGGCCACGCCAATCGTTAAAAAACAACCCAGTGAAAGATATGTGTGGATTACTCAACCTTTACCAAAATTCTACCTAATTTCCCAGCCCTGCGGCCAGACCCATCAAGCACATAACTCAAGTGTTACGAATGTACACATGCACACATCGAGTGCCCGCGATTGCTTGTACCGTGAACAACTACGTAATTCATATGCAGCTGTATTGCCACTCACGAAACGTCACTGACCGTAGGCGTCTCTCTTGAGATAATCTAAATAATAACACCTCCCCAAGGTTTCGTCAAACTTTCAATATTCTGAAACGCCACTAAGTTGGTTTTAAAGCAAAATTTCACGTTGATATTTAATTAGCTTACATTACAGCGTCCATACTTTCACAGTCTCAACCCCGTCTTCCTCAAAACCCTTGCGTCCATGATACATCCCTCAATTGAAAGGGTTTGGGATACATACTGCTAACCCACATATCTATATTATTGTCAGTCAGAGGAAAAACAACTTTTTAGTCCAACGAGCTATGTCGTATTTTCATATACCCTTCTGGCTACCTTCTACGCATATATTGCGATTCTATGAACATATTTGTCCAGCATTTTGATTACAATTTTTTTTGTAGGAGTCATTCTAAGACCTTTAGTTTGGATTTATGAATTGATGGTTAGCACTATCATCTCCTGCGCTCTTCAACTGTTCTGTCCCAGGAGTTCAATTGTTATTTACAACTCGAACAAAATTTATATTTCCATATCATAACAGCAAGAACAAGCACATGATGGTAACTCTCTACTTCGCTGTCCGGGAGTCGCCGCATCCTAGGCACAGGTGCCAACGTTTCAACTAACGGTCGCCATTCTGCGTCCTTCCTCAGGGCAAAATGCCATGGAGTAAGGTCTCAGATTAGCAGCCGAAACGTTGGCACTTAGGTTGGCCTAGGACGCGGCGTCTCCCGGATAGTGAAGTAACTATTATCCCCGGCTGAGGAAGACTATGCTCTCACGAGATGCTAACGTATGTGTATCCGTTTCCCAGCAGCACCCTGTACTCGTCGGCGTCGCAGGCGGCGCCCTTCTACGCGACGGCGGCGGGCGCGGCGGCGGGCGCCGGCGGCCGCTACCTGTCGTCCCCGCGGCCGGGCGTGAGCTACTTCGCGCGCCCCACCGCCGCCGTGCCGCCCCCGCTCGCCTTCCACCCGCAGCCCGCGCCCGCCGCCTCCGCCTCGGCCCCCGCGCCGGCCTACGCCCCGCAGCCGCCCCCGCCCCCGCACGCCCACTACCACCAGCACCAGCACCAGCAGCCCCAGACGCAGCCCATCTACCAGCCCGTGAGTAGCGTTCCCTCTCCGCACAACGCTTCTTCAAGGTGGTTCTGCGCGTTCGGGGTTCGGAGGGGAGCGAGTGCCGAATACCAGGAAGTGGGGATGGTTTGCTTGCTATTTGTTTAGCGCCAAACATTCAGTACAAACATGCAATGAGCAGCGAGGGACCGCTCGACGAACCCAGATAAGTAGAGATAGTATAGTAGATCTTTGCCATAATTTGGTGCACGCCCTATTCACCGGGTATTGGTCTTTTGCACATAGCAAAGGAAGTGATCATTCGCCAAGCACATCAGCTGCTCAGGATTGGACGATCAGTGGCTCGTTACTTGGCGATTGCCAAATGAATGGAACCCCCTTCAGGCGGATCATTCTGCCTTAATAAATAGTTGCGATGGGTTGCCTAGCTATGCTGTATGCCTAGCGCCAAGCATTCGGTACTCGCCCTGAGGCGGCTCATATTTTGGTTTCTTTCTCTCTGAAGAGAGTAGGGAGGAGGATTTAGTGTCCATTGGCAGAATAAACGATTTATTCCCTTTGCCTCCAGCCATCGAAGACCCCAACAAAATGACATTCACAAGTAGTGCTAGGATTGACGCATGGTAAAGCAGGGAATGCAACAGCGTCTTCCCCGCCGCACAATAATAGGGGGGGGACCATGTCACTCCTTACTCACTTCGAAATTGTCAAACATGTAATTAAAGCTTATTGAACGGGACTAGGTGAACTCCCGACTGCCCCTCAACGAGAGACGGAAGCCAAAGGTAATGTTTTACGTAAAGAACATATCCTCACACAATCACCAGAACGCGCCGGGTTTCGCACAACCGACAGATTTAACAGATTAAATCCCAAGGTTCCAGTGCTAAGGCGGCATACGAGTGCGAAGACCCCTCAACACCTAGATCACTCTTTCCTTCTACATGGCTGGCCATGTATGATAAACATATGGGTTTACGTTCAGGATACAGAGAAGAACAGTTGGGGAGAAAACAGAACATAAAGAATTGAGGTGACATATGGAGAGCAATAGAATGGGACATATGGACAACCTTCTCTGCATCAAACCCTGCGGGGACGCGGGGCCCACACAACGTGACTCACCGAAATAAAAAGGACTTAATTATTTTATTAATAGAACAACACAAAGTAGACATTTGAGGCAAACAAAAACGAATTGCAAACGAAATTCCAATTAAATGATTTTTTTCTAGATAAGAGATTTTCACTAATTACTTTATAAACAACTGTAAGACGTATACAATTCAACACGGAGTTACAATTCTGTAACTGATTAATAAAAATTCCTTATGTTCCGGAACATAAAATTGACTTTGCAAAACCGTGTTTCATAAGAAAGCAGACCTTGTTCCCGTGTTCCTTTACCAAAAGCGGATTCCAGGAAGATGCGAGAAGATATTTCATATTCTCACATTGGGGATATAACTCATGAAATATGAAAATAAAATACATTTCAAACTGTTAAATATGTTATTGATATGTGACCATTACGTTATTATTGTTTCAATAAACAAGAATTGAGCATACGGAATTATTTATTTCATGTTACAAACAAACAAAAAAAAATAAATTTTCAAATGGAGAAAAAACTGTTTATTTCTTAGGGTACCGATTGTGTGTATGTTTATTAGTGTTCCAGCTGTACAGATACAACAATCTGCCATCAGATGAAGATCATAAATAGCCACATGTAGCAAAAGTAAAAATGTGACGTTTTGACGTACGACCTCTTACACGTTCAGTGACGATGTTTTCCCCTTAAATGTCATATTTTCTTATTATCTACGATTTACTTAGTTATATATTTTAATGATTGCTAATGAACATGTACTTTATTTACTTATATTCTTTTTATTGCTAACTTTTTTATACCTGATTTCTCCTTTTTTATTATTGTATTCCGCATTATTTGTATTTTTTCCTTTTTTTATTGTAATATTTTTAAAAAATCTAATATGTACCTAATTTTTAGTGGGTCTTGCCATATAATAAACTGAACTGAATTTGTCACGGGATGCATAAAACCGCTGGCTCTGTGCGCAGCTGCAGTCGGTGGCGACGGCGCCGGCGCCGCAGTACGTGCAGCGGCCGTTGGCGCAGGCGAGCGAGCTGGCGCCGCAGTCGCCCCGGCGCCGCCCGCCGCCCCCGCGCCACCAACCGCCAACCGCCGTCGCCGCACCCAGCCCGCCGCCCTCGCGCGCCGCCGCCCGCGGCCCCCGCGCCCGCCTCCACCCGCGCCGCCCGAGCCGCGCGCAGCCGCGCCACGCTGCGCCAGGGTGCTGCAGGAGGACTGCCCCGACGCCGAGCGCCTCGGCTTCTGCGCCTCCCCACCCAGGATACCCCTCGTGAGTATGCTCTTTCACACACTGGGTATGCCACAGAACGAAATGTTACAAACTTCTAGAGAATGGGAGGTCGAAGATTATTACTTTATTGCCAATAATCATGAGGTGAATCTGGCGGAGTTTAGCTCAGAGCTAGCATGTCCTCTGTCTCTGCAGCGACTCTGACATACAGGTCCTAGAATTTGTATTCCAACGGTTGCGGATTTAGGACACTACCTACGAAGCTGGGGCTGATTCAGCCGCTGCCTTGAGGAGAAATATAGCGGCCTAATGCATTGATAGGTAGTTTTCCGTGGCTTGGCCTGTCAATGCCAGACGAGTGCCGGAGCTGTATCCTAACAAGTAAGGATGAGAGAAGTATTCACCGCCACCTACCCAAACAAAATATTCACTACACTAACTGGACTAACTACTACTACTAAATAGTTTAAATTCTCGAAAACAACAATCAATCAAACATATGGTGGGAAATATATATCGGCGTGTATGTTCTTTATATGTTTGCCCCTGATTGGTAGGCAACTCAACGTGCACTAATGTGTGCCAGGTTCACGTTATGACGTCTGATATGGCTAAAGCGTAGTTCAATTTTTACCTTCAAAAATCTGAATGTGATTACGTCACAGGAATAGGCGTGGCGCAAATACATTATGAAATACAATTATTGCTTGAAGGAATTAAGCTTTACCGGTCTGAATGGATTTAAACATTTTCTTCACACTGGAAACACGTTTGAAAAACTGTTTGAAAGAGTTGTGTGAACTAATTTACGGAAGATACAAGATATACCTTTCGACTGCGGTAATCTATGCAAAGATCTTGTCTATTTGGGCGTCATAGACACAACTTAAAAGTCTTCAGAAACGTATCGGATAGTAAACTAGAGTTCGGCGAGACTTAACACCACGGACGCCGGCGAGCGACATCAAGAGATGCGGTGCTGCCCGTGCGCACGCGCGGCTGAAATGGAGTGGCGCGCGTGCGCACGCAACGTCGTGCGCGGGGCGCGTGCCGTGAGCGCACGCGGACTGACCTGCAAATCCCGCCGAGCGACGCCCGCAGACCTCTTTAGGCGGCGGCTTCCCGGAAGATAGCCATCTGTAATTACAGTCTGCCACGCCGCTCGCCTCATGAATGCCCTGCCCTGCGTGCGCAGTGGTTCAGGAGAATCTGCTTCGCGAAGATAACACGGGTGATAGTTCCGGAGATCGTTGGGACCGTGTTCATTTTTGTCCTTGGCTGGACGCGATTACCGCGAGGAAACTAGAAAATAGTCCGTTTTGTTGTTTCTCACCTTTGTTGATATTTTTTTTCGCAAAGACCGAAACACTAGATCGTATTCGATAGGAACCTACTTTTGAGTCGTTGCGCATGCTCCATCTCTAATATTACGTTAAATGTGCCAGGGGCGCTCAAGGATTAACGACACAAATTAATGTAGAGAAGAACCAATTTATTCAGTGGAAGTGAAATATACACAAATTTTAAACACTGTCTCCAGCAAAATTTAGACACTTGTTCCACCGTTCTGTGAATATTCTTATTTCTGAATCGTAGGAGTTTTTACATTACTGTTTGAACCATTTGTGAAACGCGTTTTTTGACTGATTCGATATCGTTTATCTTCTTGCCGCATACGAAATCTTTTAGCGAGCTGAAGAAATGAAAATTGATCGGAACGAGATCTGGGTGAAAAAGAAGTGTCAAAACCTTCCAACTCAACTTATCTGGTATTTCCTCCATTCTTTGAACTATACGGGAGAGCGGGTTGTAATGGAAGAGAATCACATCTTTTCAATCACCGAGCATGGATGTTAGAGTGCGTATTTTGAACACTAATATTTCACAAACTAGCAATATGCAATTTTTTTTGACTCTCCTATGCAAGGGTCAAAATTACTGATGTGATTTTGCAGAGCGATAGTCGAAACTTCAACTGATATTCCAGAGTGATGGAGATCAGTGATAGCTGTTCCGCTCCATAAATAAACTCGTCCATTCACTTAAATAAGTTCCAATGGTTAAAATACTTTTCACCACAATGTTTCAACATTCTTAGGTGAATTTCTATCGGTTTCTCACCTTTAGAGGGCAAACATTTTACCAATGAACATTGTTTTTTTTAGCGTCCGTGTTTCAAGTTTAATTGGCATTTTGAAATGATCAAAAGAACTTACGTTTACATTCATTATATCCAACAGCACACTAGATATATTTCCAATTTCACCATAACAGTTTCAATGACATTGAATGAGTTGGTTTCTAGTCATATTAGTTTATCTCAAACTATTGATTGTTTCTTATAAATTGGAAAATTATACACTGCCAGAATTATCCACTGTAACTACGTGACTTGTATAGAGTACGGTATAAGTCACGTAATAATGATCATGTAATTTGTTCCTGTGACGGCCGGACTAACCGAACAAATGCGAATAACATGAGGTGGCATTATGAGAATATAGAGCCCCAAGGTACAGAGAGTAGCGCTTTCCCCGCACCCGAGTTGCAGCAGGTGGAATATGTGCGTTGCAGGCACCAGGTGTCGCTGGCCATCCACCGCTGCCGCGACCTGCTGAGCCACCTGTACGTGCCGGTGCCCGAGAGCGCCTCGCAGACGTCGCGCCCGCTCACGGGCATGGAGCGCGCCAACCGAGAGGTGAGCACGGCCCCCGGGCGGGTGCACGCGCCTCCGATCCTAAGCACCTGGCTATCGCCGCTTCGTGTCACCCCAAGCGCGGCATCGTTCTTGCGTCTTCGCGCTTCTTATTTGATGTTCAGTGTAATACTCGTCAACATGGGTGGATTTTTGGTTAAGCAAACTGATCATGTGCTTAGGGCCCCGCTAGCGCGAGATTCCTAATATATTTAAATATGTTTACTTTAGATAATTGCCATCCAAAATATTTTATTACTTAACTTTAACTGCAAAAGTAAAAATTTATTTTCGCATTAGTTTTTACATACGTAATATTTTAATAGTATAAGGGGAGTTTGGACGTGCTTAGAATCCATCAAAATATTAATCGGACACTGCTTTTTACATTTAGTATTCCCTTTTTTTCCTACGCATCAACTCAACAAAGTGGTCACACGATCGTACACAATATCTAACACGATAATAAAATTATTGACTATCAGTTACAACTGACAAACTTCCAAATTCCATGCAAAAATACGAACAAATATGGAGAAAATGTTAATACTATAACGAAGTGTCAAATACATTTCTCCCTGATTGGTAAACCCACATCGAGCAGTGGTGTTCGACAGGTACACTTCCTGACGAAGTCAAAGACACATTTCGGGTACCTTCCACACACTGATACGTACGATGAATATATTCCTAATCCCCCTAGCATCAGTCGACATGTAGTCGTATCCGCAGCTGCGGTCCACACACCATTCCTTATGCTGCACATATTCCTAAGCACCTCGTGCAAGACGGCATCGTGTCTGCAGATGTGGTCCACCACCATCACGTATGCTGAATATATTCCTAGTCCCCTAGCACAAGGCGGCGTGAGGTCGTATCCGCAGGTGGTGTCCACACACCATTCCTTATGCTGCATATATTCCTAGGCACCTTGTGCAAGGCGGCGTGTGGACGTGTCGGCAGATGTGCTCCACACCCCGTTGCGAATGCCGAGTGAAGGAAGGTCCCCCATCCCAATGTGTGGCGGTGTCCGCAGGTGTGGTCATGGGCGCGCAACGCCTCGACGCCGGGCGCCGGCGGCGCAGGCGGGAGCGGCGTGTGCGCGTCGGAGGCGGCGCGGGTGCTGCCGGGGTACGCGCGCGACGCCGCGGGCCGCTGGCTGGTGGTGGTGCAGGCGGCGGGGCTGGTGGTGCAGCCGGCGCACGTGGACGTGTGCCGCGCGCCGGGCCTGCCGTGCCCGGCGCTGGCCAAGTGCGCGCAGGGCGGCGCGCTGGGCGCGGGGGCGGCGGCGGCCGCCGGCGGCCGGCGCGGCCTCAAGGCGGCCAAGGCCAGCGGCTGCGAGCAGCGCTTCACGCCGCACCACGTCGTCACGTGGGACCCCGACGCGCCCGAGCGCTGCCCCAAGCTGTCCGTCGTGCTGCTGCCCACCGCCTGCACGTGCCGCCTGCCCAGCGACAGCTAGGCGGGCACGCCCGCTCCTCCGCCGCCGTCAGCCCGCCCCCTGGCCAGCACAACGCTCGCAGGCCGGGCGTCACGCGCAACCAACGACGTGCCCAACCACCGGCGAGAAACAAACTCGTGTCCTTGCTCGTGCAGAGTCAACTCAAAAACAAACTGGATTCATCAAAAACTTCCCCAAGCCGCAGGCTGTTTGATGAAAACAGTTATCTTTCAACTATCAACTTTACGACGTCTGGATTAGGTAGGAACTCGAAATTCCCTCGACGCAAACTGCTGTCGACAGTCGTGCACAACGAGAACAGCAATCTTCAAGCCCAGGTTTTTGGTCGCCGTTTGTTACAATACCGGAATACCCCAATCCCCCTAATAAGGCCTTCGACTGTCAGTCCGTTCATAAGTCAGATTCCAGCTCCTGCTGTCAGCTGGCACCTCAAACGTTTTACAGAATCCCCCCAAGATCGCAAACGTAAAGAAAAAGCCGAAATCGGGCGTGATCTTGACTATCGATCCGCAAAGAAAATTGAGTCGGCTGTATTTGGTCGACGACTTAGCCACTACGTCGAATTTTTATCTCCAAATCAACGCCGCAAACCAATATCCAAAACCGATCCACGTCGATCATTAAACGGAATTTCTTCATCCACTTCCGGTCGACGAGTTTCCTCATTTTCCGTGTTTCCTAGTCATAAGTTTTCAATAGCCACGCGCAGGGATATCACTCCCTTCGCATACAAAATCGTGCCACCCGTTCCCAATCACCGACTGAGCGACTCCATCAAAAGGCCGTTAACAGTGCCCAATTACAGGCAGCTATTTACAGTCAACCAATCTGCATACTCAACCTCGCCTGCTATCATGCGACGGATCAGTCACTATTCCGTAACTATGGTCCCACCTCGTCACAAACACTTCCTCGCGACTTCTAAAAACAAACTTCCATCGCTCAGTTTTGGCCAACGGTTCGGTCACAACCCTGCATCGTAAACATGCTTCAGTACTAAAAGAGAAATACCAAACGTTTCTCTTCTTTTCACATCCCGCAAGAAACTCGTCATCGGGTATATCGATGTATTATTTTTAATATGCGATTAATACTTGGACAAGTTCTACTTAGCCTGCTGCCCAAATTACTCAACAATAAATGAATATTTTCCAGGACATCTACTTGCGTTTTGCGGTAGTTCTCCAAAGAGAAAGTAAAACCGCTCTCTAGAGAAATAATGATGTAGATACGGAGTTGGATGGGGAGAAACAGGGGGACGTGCTTTTTGTCAGGGCACACAACCGTCCCAATATTTATTTCTCAAAGACGATCTCAGCTTTCCCAGGGGGACTGTTTCAATTGCAATTTCAGCCCCCTGAACTCGCTGGTTATCCAGTGATGCTGTGCATATATGAACAGTTTTATATATTTATATTCAAGCACGTATTTAAAGCAGAAGACTGCACGATGGATACAGTAATTTAAGGCTTGCACAAGCACGTAAGCATTATGTTAAATTATCGTAAATTGTATGACTAAATACTAAAAATATATAAAAAATATGTTTATGCAAAGATGCTTAAGACCTAGTAATACGGCTCAAAGACGTTTTATTAATTTGACTCGTGAGTCTTTGTTGTAAGTAGCAATGACTATAATGTGTAATAGTTATTTGCTTGTATGATGCATCTCTAGATGTTATGGAGAAAGCAAACATCTTTCCTTAAATATTTGTATTTCTTTGTAAATAGTGTATAATCAAATAAAATATTCGTTTGTTATTTTATGTTTCTATTTTACAAACAGTTAACCCTATTCCCATTTCGAAATTGAATTTCAAACTACATTTCTGTCCTCTTAAATTGACATTCCTTAGACGAGGGATTCCTAACCTTTTTGTTTTACCGACCCCTGTGAGAAATGTTTTGCTTCATTGTCCCAATACGTTTTTTCTATAGTATACTGCGTCCATAATCAGAACACAAAGAACTGCATGCAAATACCTCACGGATAACAATTTCGTACAATATTCTCGAAAATATCATGGTTTTCAATAACCGAAGACGCTTCTACATTTGTTTTAAAGAACTGGCCATAACATTTCTACAGTGGGTATTGCGAAGATTATTTTCTTGCGCGATAGTGTCGTTGTGAATGCATAGTAATAATTTGAGTGTTCTAAACATCTCAATACCTAAAGGTGAATGACGGATGTGGAAGAATAGAAGCGGAGTTGAAATTTATTACTAGCCTATATATTTTGTTGCTTTATTTCAGAAAATAGTCAACTCGGGAGGCTCGTAGGCAGAGTGCTAGCTTTCCGCGGTGCGATTCCGTGTTCGATTCCCGGTCTAGGCATACAGTAGCTTTCGTTACAAACGAAAAGCTCAGGGAGGTCAAATACGGTGCAAGGAATGTCTTTCTCGCCACAAGTCTTCCTAACCCCCAGGCGTGGATAATAAATAAAAACAGGGTCCTGGACTGGAAACACCGATTGTTGATAAAAATATGACCCTAAAATGCCAACAAAAAAAAGATACATAAATCATAAAATATTTATCATGTTCACTAATATTTTTATTTGTAATCAATGGAATCTTGATTATTCTGAACTGTCGCCCGATCATATTCTGCTATTGACCCCAATCGACCCCTGGATCATTCTAGATCCCTTTCAAAACTTTATTGTCCCCAAAGGGGGTCGATATCGATCCCGTTGGAAACTCTGCCCTAGACAAACTAATCAAATGAGTCCCTCAATTATCTTACACACACCAGTAGGCCATTTCTTTTTTCCTTGAACTACATAACACTCCTGAGCAACCCTTAATTTTGAAAATTTTCCTAAACTTAAGAAAGGACACATTCCAAAGAACGAAAGTGGTCAAACTTAAAATGATTTCTCTGTATTTGAGACACATATTATGGCAGCATAAGGATACACATACTCAAACTGAGCCGTGTTCATGCTTCACATTTGGACTTTTGGCAAACGTATGATGTAAAAAAAGTGGAAACTTGGATTTTGTGCAAGGTTATAAAGATAAAGTATCGTCAAAATCTAAGGTGCAACCAGATAAAAAAAAGCACTATTAATAGGGGCATTATTGACTCCTTCAAGTTCTACCAAGACAATGATCATAAACTTACGCTTAGACAGTTTAAGCCTTTTTAAAAATTGCCGTAAAGTGATTCTGTTCAAAGTGATTATCAGTTGTACTCCAGTCCAGTACAGCTTAAGAAGACCCAGCGTTGCTAGATCGTACCATAATTATGAAATTGCCCCATAATGTAATCTTCTAAACGTAAATGTAACATAATACCATAATTGTACAATAATTTTGAAAATAATTAGTTATTTATTAGTAAGATATTTCTGATTTTTTACTAAATATACATCATTTTTCGCTTCCTCTTACTTTAACTTCTAGACAATTTATTGCTCCTCTCTCACACAAATATGACTCATTGTCAGTCTTGCCACAAGAAGAAATATTAACACCCAAAAATGTACTTGAAATCTAGTAGTTAGTGAAATCCAAAGATGAGTACACATGTTGCAATATATCCAAGCACTTTCAAGTGCACGGAATAATCGATTACGATTTGATCAAATTTCAGACTAGGAAATGGTTTTTTACACACTAAGTTGTCTTTCTGAGAAAAACCCCTCATAATAATTCTAGCCGTAAATCGTTTACTAACTGCAGTAAATAAACTTCATGCTATCCGAACGCCTTTGTATGATGTTTGTTCAAAGTGGATAAAAAGGCTCATTACTGTATTCGATGTGTTAAATAAAGGTTGCCCAGCAACAGTTTGGTAAACATAAGTCCCTGCTAGGGTGGCAATTTTTAAGAACTGCGAATTTAATTGTGGATTAAAACCAATTGTTATAAAAAATACATTCATGGAGGATATTCATCTTGGTTTGACTGCTCGCACTTCGGCGCGGAGTCCGAACGGGCATGATACGACTTCACATTCACAAGCGCGCCTTGTCCAAACACGCGTAACTGTCGCCAAAATGGGTGTAGTAACTATCACCAAACAGTTAACTTTGAAGTATTTAGTTTACATTATAATGAAAAATAAGTTAATTTACGGAAGTTGAGAAATTACATTTTGGCCACAGAATCGGTTCTCAGAAACCATAGTACCCTGATTGGAGATACCTAGAGGGGGAAATCCCCCGCCACTGTGTAGGTCGGCTCTGGATCTCACTACCAAGCTAAGAATGAACACCTCCGTCTTTCACGATAAAGTCAACATCAGACGACAGAAATTACATGGAAGAATTTCGGAGAGGAGGAAAAGCGAAAAGAAACGATTTACAGTAATAATGTGGAATGGGGCTAAACAAAGAGCAGCGAGCTCACCCAAATGACAAGGAATTACTCTGCAAACTACAGGAACAACATCCACGGTACACTAAAGGAGAGATTCATGCAATTAGCAGCAACAAGAAGTACGAGTATAAACGGCATTCAATGTCTGAAGTCAGTTGTATACAGAAACAGCCACGAAGTTGTCTACCCACAAACTACTTCCTGTAGCAACATACGGTTTAGAAATAGCATGGCACTACCTCAAAGTCAAGCAGTTAAAAATGTAAGAAAATCTAAAAGTAACTTTCATAAAAAAAAATTTAAAAAAAAAACTATAGGAATTTCCAAGTATGTGCATATGTAATGGTAAAGGAAACTTTCTTACTGGCAGATGCAAGACTTCAATAGCAGCTGTCCAACACAAATGCGCTAAACGCTTTTGCGATTAGTGCTGAACGAACGAAAAAAGAGACGGAAAGAAATATGGCCAGATTTCTTCTGTACTGATGCGGCGATAAATAGAGAAGAGGCGAGGTACAAGCAAAGGCATGTGATTACGCGCCTGGCAAATTCAAGAGTTCCACCACCGGATATGTCATTCAGAGTTTTCACTAACAAAATGACATATGTGAATGTAAAAGGTAGTGTGAATGTTATCACAAAATAAATTGCACCAGATGGACCAAATCT